GCCCCTCTGCCCAACTAACCCGCTTCTTTAATATCTGAGCTCTGTGCTCCTTCTTACAAAGACCAGATCACCTTGAGTTAGCTGTGGAACCCGCTTCCCACTTCGCCCGTGGGACACGTCCTCCCAAGGTAGCAGATGTCCGAGTCAGCAGTGGCTGAACAGGACAGCAGGCCCCGCTGCACCAGCCCCCATCCAAGTCACCTCCCCTGTATAGGAAACGTCTCGACTGTGTCACCAACTGGGTCATCAGCTCACTACCTAACTTCCTCAAGAACAGTCTAATAGGCTTCGTGAACAGGAGAGACATTATTTGAATTATTTTTTGGTACCAGGAATTGAACCCTGGGGCTCTTAACCCCTGAGCCCTGTCCCCTGACCTAATTTGCATTTTATTTAGAGACAGGGTCTCACTGAGTTGCTTAGGGCTTCACTAAGTTGCTGAGGCTGGCCTCCAACTTGTGATCCTCCTGCCTCAGCCTCCCCAGCCACTGGGATGACAGGTGTGGGCCACTGTGCCCAGCTAGGATAGACACTTTTGAGGTTTTCTGACATGCTGCCAAGCTGTGCCCTGAAGTGGCCCCTCCACCTGTCTTTGTAGGCTCCTGCAAGTACTTTAGTGATTGAACCCAGATTGTCGGGAACTTGACCAGCTACAGTCTTCCACTGTGTCCCATCCAGATCCGAGTCGCCCATAGCTCCTGAGCCCAGCCACTCGCCCAAATGACTAGTGAATGGGTCGGGGTTAAACAGTGGCCGGCTTGCTTCTCTCAGGAGAAAGTAACTGGAGTTTAATATAAAATAGTTCCCAGGTACATTAAATGTCACCTTGTCTGTAAGGAGAGTGACAAGGAGCAGCAGCTCTGGGCTTCCGGGTCGCCCTGTCACTGCCTCACCGGCAGTCTCAATGGCAGGCCCAGCTCAGCAGCTCCTGCGTGCCATGAGCCCGCTCCTGCGGGTTCAAAGCTGGGGGACAGTGTTAATTAATAAGAGAATAATAATAGCCAGGCGCAGGAGGCTGAGGCAGGAGGATCGCAAGTTGGAGGCCAGCCTCAGCCAAAGCGAGGCCCTAAGCAACTCAGGGAGACCCTGTCTCTAAATAAAATATAAAAAGGGCTGGGGATGGGGCTCAGGGGTTGAATTGGGGGTCAGTTCCCGGTACCCCCACCCCCCAATAATAATAATAATAATAATTAATAATAAATAAGGACTCCAACCTGGAGGACGTAGACAGGCAAATCCAGGGTGAAGCAGGGGTGGAAGGCCGAGGGCTGGGGACTGAGGGCCAGAGGCAGGACTCCTTCACCCGAGGGATCACCCTGGGGAGGCAATGGCCAGCAAGGCCTGTCAGCTGTCTGTCTGGCAGCTCCCACAGGCCCTCACTGTGAGGCCCAGGAGAGCCTGCCCGCCCGCCCCAAGGAGACCCAGGGACCCAGCGGTGACTCCTGGCCCTCACTATCCCAGCCGGGTCCTAGCTCAAGGCGCAGCAGAGGAAGCTGACCCTGGAATCTCCTGCCTGGTCACTCTGGTCCCATTCAGGAAGGGGACACTGTGCCCTTCACCTGTCTTGTGTGCATACCCAGCCTGTGGCCGGCCAC